ATGATGTAAAGTGCATGGTGATACCATCACATAAATGTTGTAACTTATCCATTTGGGTCAGAAAGGTTTTGCATTTACAGGATGTCACTCCTGTGAATGCCACTGAAGCTCCCAAGCTACCTTTAGGTTTTAAAAATGTAAATAATTCTGCAAAGAAGTGTTGCCCCAAACAGGTAGCATGAAATAGAATGTCATCAAAGAAAAGGAAAGAATGGTTCAGACTATGCTTGCCAATTTCTCATTCTCTGACTTCCTTTCTTCTAATCTGCCACTAAGGATAAATTCTGGAAGCCTCATTATTATTTGCCAAAGCAATAAGAGACCATCAAGTATCCTGCCAATCTGGCAGATAACATTATTCCTTGTGCTATGAAAGCAAATTTCAGACCCGTGCTCCCTCCATCATTGCCATGACTATTTAAAACTAAGTTTTATATGTTTTTGGCAAAGTAAATTAGATTGTTATCAATATTACTTATTTTCTAATAAGGAATCCAAATTTAGAATCAGGAATGGGGATAATTTTCACTGGTCTGTAGTTTTTAACAAAGTGATCTAATTGATTACTGGACTAATACATAGTATTATGTATTAATATTAATATTAAGGTGGGATAAAATAATAATAATAAACATATGCATTTCTACAAATTAAAGTGGCTCAGTTCCAGCTTAAAAATTGCATACAAAAATATTTAAAGGAAAGATTAAACATAAAAAATTAGGTTAAAGGTGAGTATGAATGTTCATACTTTTTAAGCAGCTACAGATAGAATAAAACAGAGTTATAATTTGATACATGCAAAATTGACAAAGATAAGCTATAGACTGGTTTGTCTGTATAACATCTACATAAGATACACAGTTTTCAGCCACAAACCTTTGGTGTAATAAAGAAGTATTGGGAGGTGCTCTTTTGGCAGGCAGTTTCTACTACCACATCAAAGACTCTCCTTTCATTAACTGGATCCATTCCCTATAAAAGAAATAAACAGCAATATTTCTTCTGCTACTGAATACAGTGAAGGAAGCTCTTGTTTCCAATACCAGCATATATACCTGATTTATTTCATCTACTACTCTGAAAGGGCATCTGTTGAGTTCTTGCAAAGCCATTAAATATAACATTGTTGAAACACTTCTCTCCCCTCCGCTCTGATGGTACTGAGTCAGTTCATGAAGTTGGGTGCTGCTACGGAATTTGACTCTAATCCGAATCCCATACTTGTCATATTCTTCCTGTCAAAATAGGACAACTATGTTTAGAGATCTGCAAATTTACACAATCCATGACAATAAGTTAAAAAGTTTTTTTTTACATAAACCTTTGGTCACATAAAACCAAGGTTTGCACTAACCCTACTTTAGAAGCCAGATCAAGCATTAAGCTTCCAAATATACAGCAAGCAAGCCGTGATATGAACCTCTACTTTGATTCCATTTTAATTCCTGATACTGAGCTTCCTGATGAATCTGCCTCTGCAGGCACAGAAAGAAACATAACTATGGTTCACTATTCAGACCCTGCTGACATGATTTCAAAATCTTGTTACTGGTAGCAAATCATGGTTTATCAGTTCTGATATCACAGTTAAGCCATAGTTAAGCTTCCACTAAATTCCAGTTCAGGCATTCAACCTGGGCAGGGTATTGAAATGTGTAAACAGCACTGAGCCACACACAACATCATTGTCTTTCCCCGTGCCATTCCCTAGTCTCTATGCTGCGCTAAGCGGCAATCCTAAAGGAAAATTTCATTCATGTGAATGTGAATTAAGAACCAGATTGGGGAATCGGGTGATAAAGCCAATGTACCCTTTACACCCATTACTGAGTAGGGCTTATATCAATGGAATGGAATGACTGGAGATCCATATTGAAGTTGCTTTAAATTCCTATGGGAAAAAAAGGATATAAACGCAATTAAGATATAATTGATAATGCAATATTATCAACACGTAAAATAAACATGTATTTTACATATTGTTCAAATGTTTCATCAAACCAATCTTTAAAATCTTTCTGAACAATAAAATGATTTCCGTAACTATTTTGCGTATTTTTCAGAATAAGTACTCCCTTTATTTTTCTCTAAGTTGGTGCCTTAAGTTGTTGCTGGGGCAACAGAACAGGGGAAGTGCTGGCACTGTTGCTAGTGTTTTCTTCACCTGCTGGAGAAGAAAATCCAGCATGGAAAAATAATTCACCTTGCTTGTTATCAAAGCCAGATATCTCACTGGGTATTTTCAAACAAGCCTTACGTCAGATGGTTTGTAAATTTCCTCCAGTAAAATAAATGAAAATTATGTCAAAATACGTTATTTTTCTTTAGAAGAACAGATTGCTTATTTCCAACTGTGGTTTTCTGAATTATCATCTGTGCATTCACACATATGGATTTTTCCTTGTGTGTAACCCTACATAGGCATCTATTATAGCTGAAGTGAACTTTTTAACTGGAGGCAGGTTCTTGCTACATATGTATGGAGTGCTGTTCTTGCCTCAGTCCCCTTAAGGCAGTGTTATCCAGACTTGGCCACTTTAAGATGAGTGGACTTCAACTCCCAGAACCATGGCTGGCTGGGGAATTCTGGGAGTTGAAGTACGCTCATCTTAAAGTGGCCAAGTTTGGACAACACTGCCTTAAGGCCACTGCAAAGGCAACTGTAGGGTAATAGCATGCTCCCATAGTACTTGAGTGGGGAAGGAAGATGGTTTTATCAATGCACAGATTATTACTTGAAGAGCCAGTAGTCTGTACATTTTCATGGTCTGTGTACATCATATGTATGTATGGATAGAAAGTTTATCTAGTGACTAAGGGCAAGAAACAATTAGTTTAATACTGTTCCTTTGACCAATAAGCTTCTCACTCCTTCAGGGTAGGCCAGGTCAGAAAACAGTCACAAGAACTACTGAAACTCTATAAAATAACAGCAAAATCTTGAAAGCCTCACAGAGTTTTTCTTTGCTTCTCTTATAACAAAGAGAACCAAGGTAAAGTTATCTTGAGTTTCTTTCTCACCCCTTTCTCTTTCTCAAGGCTAAGCAGATGTTTACTTAATCACCCTTGCATTCCTTCTTCAAGGCCATCTCCATACTCCTCTACACAGCCACAGGAAATATCCCAATCACGTGGTCACTAGTACTTAATAAAGTTGGTACGTTGAGACCATGAACAAAAGCTGGTTGTCTCAGAAGCATGTCATAATTTGAATGAGTTCTGATGCCTACAAGTGGCAATTCCTTCAACAATTGATAAGCTAGGCAGATGGTTTTGACTATTCAACCGACAAATTACCATGATGATACCTCTTCAACTTATACTCTTCCTAAGAAGCAGAGGTGCTGTAATAGAAAGAACTGGGCCATGTAATGTACCCCAGTACACCAGTTACATTGGACATCTAAAGATTGCAAAATTCTTTCCAGTAGTATAGTTGGTGACAGGAAGAATGTTACCAAGAAGATTAAGTCAGAAAGAATTCAGCATCATAGGTAAAAGACAGTCAGATATCTGGATTATTCAGGTATAGGGATGAGCATGAAAAGTTCAGCATTCCCAACAATAGCGACTTCATGGTGGGTTTCTGATGGTGAAAATATACTGTGGCAGTTTCAAAAAAATATGTGACAGAGTTGTAAGAATAAGAGACAGACTTTAGGGTGATGCCAATGGAGGTTAAAGTGGGTTGAGGTTGGAAAAATCCTTGATAAAACATTTTGTGTCAGATATGAAAACACCAACAAATTCTGCATGGAGAAATGGCTGGAGTAAATGGCCATGAGATAAACTTTCACACACAACAGGACCAAGTTTCAGTACTTTTAGGAGAGCAGAAAACAGAAAATTAAGTCAAGCTGACAGAACTTTGGCTGTCTGTCACTGATCATGGCAAAAGAGACTCATTCTAAGACCAGTGTGATGTCTGCAGCAAAACAAGAACAGAGGAATCACGTTGTGTGATAGAGGGATCGGAGATTGGGTGATAAGAACTTCCTTTTGTTCTGAAGCACAAAATCTGGCCTATTGGGTAAATGGGTGAATGTTCTAAAAGACAGATGGAGCAGGACTGATAATCTCAATCATCATAATGTTATCAGGATATTAGCAAAGCCACCTGGTGGAGATAGTGGCAAGGGGGACTGGTAGAAAAGCACTGAAGGTGGAAAGGCAAGGAGGAATTATGGAAAATCTTACATACAGAAAGATGTCCTAGTCTTTATGTCAGAGACAAGCATCTTGTAGAGATAAAGGACCACACCCTGCTAGCAATGATGACAGCTGAGTCAGTTCTGTTTCAAAGCATGGAACACCTCAGGCATAACATCATTTAAGATGCACTAAGGCTAAAAGAGAACAGTAGGTAGAGGAAGGCATGAGATAAACAGTAGGTAGAGAAGGGGTGGCTGAAGTAGTGATGGTCCTGATATCTTGGGGAAAGTCATGTGTTAATGCTTTTGTGATATTTGTGATATCCAGGTGAGGAGGAATTGAGAAGGTGGATATAAAAGAGATATAAATTATTTCTTTCCCTTTTTTAAGGCAGATTTAGACATCCAACAGGAGCCCCTTAATCTTGTGTTTCTTTGGTCCTCACAGTGCTTCAATCAATCAACCCAATGAATGGAAGTGCAATGGTTAGGCCAACACAATGGATGATATCAAAGCTACGTGCCACGCAGATAATGACTGCTTTAGACCAAAAACACTGCGCCCAGAGGATCTGAAGAAACAGGCATTACAGCTAAGAAGGCTTTTTTCCCAGAGAAGCACCATGATCACAGAAGGGTGATTGTGGTGCACCTGCTTAGTACATTTTTGCCACTGATGGCCATAGAATGGCACATGAGGCAAAGAGACTGGCTGTCTACTAGTTAGGAGCTGACCTTTGCAAGCTAGGCATAAGTGGAATGCAGCCCACAAGGCCACAAGATTTCATTCAGCTTGAATGAACAACTGAAGCAGCTTGAGAAGATCCAAAATTAGAGTCCATATGATGATAAATGCCATAAGAAAAAAGTGAATGAAACACCCAGTTTTGTACAAAGTATACAGAAGAACCCTTCTGATATTGCTACTGTAGTGCTCCAATAGACACTATAGAGCAGGCAACTTCTAGTATATGCTTTCTTCCAAGACTTCATCTCAACTATAGTAGATTAAGATTCCGTGCTGGCGCATGTCCCATATATGTGATATGGAGAGAGTATGAACATTTCCAGATTTTTTTGGAGTCTCCAGGCTTTGATCAACACCACAGTCTGCACTACATTTTATTTTCAAGTAATTCAGAAAATTTGCTATGACAAATGAACAACTTTATTTTGCTCCCAAAATGAAATGCTTGTTAATATGACAGGTAGAAGATAGCAAATGGCAGTAAGCAATCCTTCATATGTATACTCAAAGTATTTCTGTGAGTAGTTATGGATTCTCCCAAGGGCTTCTTATTGCTGGAACTGGGGCTGGGGCTAAGAAATGTTCCTGGTGGAACACAGGTTTTGACTTGATAGGCATGTCAAAGCATCTCACTTACACCTGTTTATTTATTCATTGTATTCTAACATTTCTCTGTCACTCAGGGTGGCATACAGTGGGGCAAAAAAGTATTTAGTCAGCCACCAATTGTGCAAGTTCTCCCACTT